CTGGGCTGTGTAGCATCAGGAGCTGCTCTCCTGCCCTCCCTTATGCAGCCCACGTGGGGGGAGTGATCCGGACACAAGGAGCACCTCGCGTTGGAGGGGGTGCAGGGGACTAGGGGAGAAGCGGCACAGGAGGGTTAAGGGAGAAGGATTTGGGGGAGAAGGGGCACAGGAGGGGAGTGTAGGGGTTAGGAGAGAAGGGGATGTGGGAGGGGTTAAGAGAGAAGGGGTGCAGAAGGATTTGGGGGAGAAGGGGCACAGGAGGGGAGTGTAGGGGTTAGGAGAGAAGGGGATGTGGGAGGGGTTAAGAGAGAAGGACTGCAGAAGGATTTGGGGGAGAAGGGGCACAGGAGGGGAGTGTAGGGGTTAGGAGAGAAGGGGATGTGGGAGGGGTTAAGAGAGAAGGACTGCAGAAGGATTTGGGGGAGAAGGGGCACAGGAGGGGAGTGTAGGGGTTAGGAGAGAAAGGGGTGCGGAAGGGGTTAGGGAAGAAGGGGTTATTTATTATGATAGTTATTACTGTGGATTTTACAAATAATTTCAGATATACGTTTCAGATTAGATGCCTGAAATCACACTCAGTTTTATCAGTGACACCATCTCTCAGCTTCTCTGCACTAGCACAAAATGAGTCCATCTCCCCCTCCGTCCGCCTAGGTTCTCTCCTTCCCTTACTCTCTTCTTGGGAGTATGCAGAAACCTACCAGCAGGAGCCAAAGGTTTGATCCTGAAACCTCGATGCTGTAAGGAGTCCTTATTCATACACTTGATCCCATTTAACTCAGGAAGGTTCCAGGATCTGTGCCCAGCTCCTGCTGCAGCTCAGCAGTTCAGAGTTTTTGAGCAGCGCTATATTTGTGTTGATTTGTCTGCAAATATTTCAATGTTTTGCTGCTGTCATGAGGAATACAGAACGATTCTATGCTCTACCATACAGTCTTTGTATCCCGAACTAAAATCACATCTGGCAGACTCCTGCTGGCTAGATACAGCACATGTTGCGAGAGATAAAGCATATCTTCTTGCCGATTCGGAGACAGACACTGTAGATGTGTAATGCTGTTAAAATTAGCCTCTTAGAATTTGCACAGGATTTACCCTACAAATTAATTCCTAATAAAGATAATTTCTTCAGAATAAGCACTGGAATCATCCTTTGTAATACTAATTAGCCTAATCCAATTATTTTTGTTAAGATTGTTTAATAGCAGACAATATATGTCCAAGTCCAAAATTTATATCCTTTATGCCCTTGTTTTTGCATTTGTTTATATATTTTTATTATTGCTTTTTGTTTTTTAGCTAACATAGAAGTTGCTAGGTGGTTGCTATACAATTATAACAAGAGAACCCAGGCGAACCAAGCGTGGTATGTTCTGTATTGTGTTTGACTGATTATTGTGAATATGTTTTTTAAGCCTTAATCTCTTGATACTCCAATTCCACAGCTACGGATACTAGAAATTTCTGTAGTAGATGCTGGAGTGCTCATCCTGTTTTATTGGAACTTCTGTTTTAGATTACTTACCTCCCACTTTTTTAAAAATTACAAACACAAACAAAAGAGGTAAAATAAGTCTTTACCCTATTTGTTTGTTTTAAAATATTAACTCTGCAATTACAGACCAGCAAGAAGGAAAGCTGATCTATAAATGATCCTTTCTCATGGCATTGTATTAAACCATCTGGACAGAGAAGATATATGAGACAAGCTCTAGGAAGTAACATCTTTTATGATGTACTGAAAGATTTGTTGTTCTGTATAGCGTTTTGAAGTTGAAACGTCCCCTCCCCAAATCACGTGATGTGACAGTGTGACAAATTTCTTGTAACTTAGCAGTTCTCTGTTTTTTTGCCTTCAGAGTTTGGTGGCCAGAGAATGGCGGCTGCTGACCAGGCACCCAACTCTGAAGGCAGCACTGCCACCACTAGCAGCGCAGAAGTAACGGGGCAATACACCATAAACCACACTTTGTTCTTTGTAGGTAAAAGGCCAGGGGCCCCATGTACAGCAAAGGAGTGGAGCTGCCGTTCCTCATTTGAGGCGTGTGGTTTGGGAAAGAAAGCAGGCAGGTGTGTGGGTTGGTTGTGGTGGAAGCAGGAAACCACCTTTGGTAGAAATTTAGGATGCAGGTGAATTGAGACCTTGTCCTTATGGAATGTAGTGAAAGAGGGGATTTCCATCATAGCTATCAGTTCACCAGCCCTCCTTGGAGGGGTAATGGTGACCAGAAAGGCTACTTTCATAGAAAGAAGAGAAAGAGGGCAAGAGGCCGAAAGTTCAAAGGGGAGTTCATCCCTCTGGCGCACCTGGCATTGGCCACTGTTGGAAGACACAATACTGGGCTGGATGGACCTTTGGTCTGACCCAATATGGCCATTCTTATGTTCTAATGACATGAGGACTAAGTTCAGGTTCCATTGAGGAGCAATAGCCGGTATCGGCAGATATTTGTGTACAAGGCCCTTCCAGAATCTGGTAGTCAAGAGTGGGTGAAGATGAAGTTCCCCTCCATGGGAGGGTGGAAGGCACTAATGGCCGCTATGTGTACTTTGATGGAGTTGAGAGTGAGCACTAAGGTCTTTAGAGAGAGAAAATAGTCTAATAGCAAGGGGATGCCCATGGCCTTGGGGGCAAGACCTCTACGTAGGGCCCAGGTAGTGAAACAGGTCCATTTGGCCTAGTAGGATCACCTTGTGGACTCCTTTCTGCAATTAGAGAGGATGTCTCAGATTGCCTGTGAGCATTTCTGCATTAGCAGAGGCATCCATTCAAATACCACACTGTGAGGTGAAGCGCCCTCGGTGTGCCATTGTGTTGCATGAGTAGCTGTGGGAATGTTGGGAGCAGGAGTGATGGACGCTTTGACATGTGGAGAAGAAAAGGAAACCAGAACCGGGGAGGCCAATACGGAGTAAATAGGGTGACCATTGCTCTCTCCCGTCTGAGTTTGTGCAGAACGTGTGGCAATAGAGGGCACTATATTAAACCATAGCTGATCTGGCCTGACCAGTCGATGATCAGGGCGTCCCTTATGAGTGGACATTGAGTCGTCCCCTCAAACAGTACTGAATGCACTTGGTGTTGGCGAGATGTAAAGAGGTCCCTGATCGGGGTTTCCCAGTGGCCGAAAATGTCCGCAACTACCGCATCATGCAATTCGTATTCGTGGTGAGCTACAAAGTTTCTGCCGAGAGCATTGGCAAGTACGTTCAGAGTTCCCGGTAGGCAGGCTGCCGACAGGAGGATATGATGTGAAATGCATTTCCAGAAGTGTACCGCTTCCACACATAGTGCTCAGGAC